ATAACAAACAAAATGTTATTATGGAAGTTCTGACACAGACACAGTATTTTCTGTTATCTGGCAGCCTAGCAGCAGGTCTTTCATCTTCTGAGAGCGTCCGCCTGCTCTCACCCTCGCCCTCCTCACAGGTGGCCTTTCAGGACAAGCACCTACAAGGAATGCAGCTTTGCCTCAACAAACTTCCCTGTTCCTCTATCTTATTAAATGAGTAACCCTAGAGAAGAGGCAGATGAATATGAAACACTCATTTTCTAAAACAGTTCAAAGTTTGTTTACCTGGTGACGGTGTACATTTGTGAAGTCTGTTCTTTTGCACAATTCTTGATCCCACGATAATCTTTCGTTAGCACCATCATCAGCAAAGTATAACGTTAACATCAATGCTGTCAATTGACACCAGCTCTGGAAAATGGGGTTAGGGACCGCGCTATTTGTATTCCACGGAATCCAAATTGGGTTTCACTCAAGTGAAAATTTGTGATACATTCTAAACAAGATCAGTTGAAAATTCATCTTTGAATTAGCCATGGTTTTTTTAAAAAAGAATCTGTCTACGAAGTATTCAAACAAAATAAAGTGGGTGTTGAATCCCATGGTTAAGAACTCTGATACAATACAATACAGTGGATATAAGAACTCTTTCTTATCTATGAAAAAATTTCTAAATGACCCCTATATGAACTTTAATGACCTGGTTCTATTTCAATGAAATATTAATAGTGACAGGCTTTTCAATGTGTCACAAGCCAAACATTGTATCATTTAGCCTAGCCTTCTTTCAGTGAGATTTCGTTACTGTGTCCGTTTTACTTTAGTCTTCTTGCTTAGTACAAGTTCTTCCCTGGCTCCAGCCTTCACGTGGAAGGCTTTCGGAGATGAGCACCACTAGCTGACATCTTCCATTAGGGACGTGATTCTGCTTTCCCATTTTTACTAAAATTTGCTGGTTCTCACCCTCCAGCCCCTGTGCAGTTCCTGGGACACCCAGAAGTTATCCAGTTAACCCCATACTAATTAAAATCAGGCACCTCTCAGGGTATTGAGTAGACTACAAGGCAGGTCTTGTGAACGAAATTTTTTATTTACACACTGTATCTAGAAGCAGATACATAAATTCTTATACAATTAATTTCCAAAAATGTGCAAGAAATTACTATAATCTGTTTACAAACCAAAACACGTATTAAAATCAATGGACTTTGGATAATTCATTCTGTGGTGTTCTCAGTACAAATGGTACACACCTGATTTGAAACATACAGAAAAAGTGTAAACTACCGCAATCTGAATTGCAAGTATTAATTTCATGGCACTCCAACAACTATGAAATTTCTTTAACCCAACATGTATATACTTATTACAAAATTCTATAAGAATTTTTCATAATCTCTGGATGTAGAGTTTGGATCACTTTTCAGAAACAGCAACTACACACTTTGCCATGTTATGACTGATTAATAAAAAGAATGTTTATAAAAAACCTTCTTTACAGGATTAAAAAAGTATTCAAAGAAACCAAATTTGTGATTGCTAGTGTACTAACACTTTTAGAATTTTAAAGTTATTCACGGAACTGGCTATTGTTCCTTATTATTCAAGAGAACTGCCTATTGCTGGTAGTGAGTTCATTTTGAAATTAAGACTTCATATTGGATGAAAAGCAATTAAGATTTAAATGAAAATGTATTATTCTGATTCATTCGTAAAGCAATATCTCCCATATACAATGTGAAATGTACAGTAGTTAAAATTGGCATTTCTGAAAGCATTGTTACAAGGATTATTTTAGACCTGTAGCACTAGCAGAGACATTGCATTAACCTATGTTAGATTTTAGTAACTTTTATCCTGTTTCAATAATACTGGCTCAAAAATTACAACGTATACTTTGGGTTTTGTTTCCTTTATGCCAATGATTTAGCCTTTTGGAATTTTATTTTCTTCAACAGCAAGATGGTTGCCCCGTGTAGCTGGTTTCCTTAAAAACTATTTTTAGTTCTATGATCATTTCCTGTGACATATTTTGACCTTCTAAATTTTCAGATTATTGCACCAAGTAGAAAGAGTTTTCCTCAGACAGAAAGAGAAAGAATTAGATATTTTTCAAGTACTTTCTATAGCCTTCTTATTATTTATAAAAATGCGTAATAGTGTTATAGTGAGCCTAAAAATAGCTTCTGGCCTCCATCATATTTTGTGATGAAATATTTAATAGAAAACAACTCTGATTCATCTATTATGGCAAATGGATACAGCTTTCCTGTTTTTTCTTGCCTTGAGCTCAGATTTTTAGAAGCACATATTTAAAAAGCACTCATAGGCTGTGTCCATGTCATATATGTTAACTGCCAATAGACTCCTAAAATTTAACCGAATTGTGTCTAGACCAAATTAAATGATGAGTTTTCTCTCTCTCTTTTCCCTGTTTCCACTTTTAACCGGACTGTGTTACTATCATATAAAGCCAATCTTTCACATTGTTGTGCTGCCTACCCCAAATGGTTATTTTTCTACACGAAAGTAGAAAATATCGCAAAACATCTTTCTGCTTGTAAATTTAACTTTTTGGCAAATAGTTTGACTTTATCATTATACTATCAGAATCTGACAATTTCAAACTAGATTAGAATAGGGCATACTAAAGTATGTATTATGAACATATAAAAGCGCATCAAAATTTGGCTTTCTGAATTAGAACAGTATCAAGACTGTCCTCCACTAAAACACAAAATACAATTTTAAAAACATTTCGATGAAAATCTGAATAATCTTGACACTCAGCGGGTAGATCTTAAACACATGACATGATAAGAAAACGCAGGGAATAGGTTATGTCCACATACGACGGGTTCAGGGCAGTCCAAAGACCTCTGTGCACCATGATCTCACAAGGAGGACATGTAAATGCTTCTGGAGACACGGAGAAGCCGTTTCAACATTTATTATTCATACACAGTGACTCTGTGACAAAACCTGCCATCTAATATAGATGCACAGGGACTTTTAACTCACCCTAGATATACTTTAAGTTGTTTTAAAAATAAATAGTTTTGCAAAAAAATAGTTTAAATGTCTTGCATTAATTTGATAACAAGCTTACAACTCTGTAATAGTTCTTAATCCAAATAGCTTATAATGAACACTTAAATTATATTATTACAGTATACTCCATATTCCATCTTATTAGGAGAAAACATATGAGAAAATGAGTCTTTGTAACAAGGTACAATCAACATCCCACCAAAATTAAGTACCTTTTCCCCTTTAAGTCAAAATACCATAAGACCATAATATTATGGTATTGTGCCTTTTCTTGGTAATATCTCAGTTCTGACCCTAAAAAACAAAGAGAAAAAAGTGAGGATTCAGATATGTTTGAATGACAAAGCCAGTAAGTTTGACCTAAACCTTTACCCTCATGTTTAAAGTGGGTAAGAGACTTTTCCTATCTCTTCCTTTAAGTGACAAAGGAAGAACCATCCCAAATTACAAGTTTCATCTGAAATAGAAACCTCTTCCTTTAAAGGTGTGTAGCTGAAAATTTTCTGGACAGGGTAATCCCAAAATACTACATCCATTGCAGAACTGTGAAATGAATAAACACTCTGCATTTCAAAATAACTAAAAATCATTGAATATAACATCCCTCCCCAACAACCGACTCAAGGAGATAAATTAGCAATGGCAAATTACTTAAAACTTAGCTAAATTTTAAAAACCTATCTTTAAATGGCAGTATACATGAAAGACAATATGACTTCCACATCATTATCGAATATGGTTTAAAATTTTTCTCACATTGTGAGAAAAATTGCTCCACAATTTCCACGATTTTTAAACCAAAGTCATCAAGGGTTCTCTTTATAGTGGGGGTAAGGATTGGTCAAATCCAGCACACTGTTATAGTAACTACATAGAAGAAAAATATAAGTCCAACTTTAAAACAATGTTTTCTTTCTATTCAAATCAATTTAAAACTTTTTATAAACATTAATGTTGCAAGAGAATCCAGTTCATTTATGAAAATTAGTTGACAATCAAGTTCACCCAAGAAAATGCTGACTAAGCGAAAGAAATCACAGATAAAACATTTTACCAAAAGTATAGGTAACACACCAAAAAATGCTATCACAGGAAGCTATGATCATCTACTATTTCTTTAATAATAATTCTAGTTCCATAGGTTTTCATGTTATGCGCCAATTTGTACCCGAGTTCAATTACAGAAAAGGCAACAATTTCTAAATTGGTGGTATACATTTCTTTACAATTTTTTACTGTAAGGCCATTTATTAAAATAGACAAACTATAAGATGAAAATGAAGGCAACAGAAAAATTCAACTTTTCACAACCAAAAGAATTAGCACAACCTTAGAAATAATTTAGAAAAAAGTGTTGTTAAAAGATAAGTTGCAGATCTCCGTTCCATTACCCAAGATTATGTCAATTCACGATTCTAAATAAATCTTTTTAAAGAGATTAAAAACTCATCTTCAGTGTATAGTAAATTCTGTGTTTTATTACACCAGGTATGTTTATTCAACACTATCTTTTGAAAATGGGCCATTTAAAAAGACATAGCAATTTCCATTCTGTAAGTTTCATTCAGCTTTACTTAGGGTTGAATACACATGAAATGTGCTTTTAATGCATAAAAATCACAGTGGATAGCAGCAAAGGACTGGGGGGAGGGGCATTAGGAGAATTTGATAATTCACATTGTGATTATTCTGCACATTGATGAAAGATAATTCACACCTCTAAAACCTCAAGACTTCCCTTTTTAAAGAACCAAAATAAACCCAAGACACCTTGCTGACATTTCCCGACCCCTAAACAAACTGATGACTCTTTTACACATAAAACTGAAATAGTAATGGCAGCAAAATATTTTGATGGCAATGAAAGTCTGTAAACTGTATTTCAATCTTTTGTTCTTATTCCCAAAGTGCAAGATGCAGGGTTCTCATCTTTCAGTAGTGCTTCTCCTGTAAATAATCCTTCATTTTGTTTGGCAAAGGCAGTTTCTGAATTAAGTCTATTCTGGTGTACTGACGTATAACAAAACGACACAGGTACTGCAACGAGCGCACCTGCATGAACCGGGACACTGGGTTGGTCAGTCTGACGGGGTAAGTTGCAGATCCAGGCAGCCGAGACCTTGAATAACAAAAAGCTCCATTTTCAGAGTCCCTGATTGAATGCTCAATTAGATCAACTATGGACGTATGTCCTTCCACATCAGGCTGTTCATAAAAGCTAAACCTACCGTTTGAGTGCTCAATTCTAGTGTGAAGTGTTTTACCATGAGAGCGAAAGCTCAAGCTTAAAAGGTAACGGTCGTCAGAACTGTCCCGAACAAGAAAAGAACCATCTGGCACGTTTGCTAGCTTCCCTTCTGCCTCCCAACGTGTGATGGGTCCCCAGTACCATCCTTGTTTTGCAAGTTTTTTCAGCTCCTCTGTAAGGCTGGTCACGACCATGGGACCACTACTTTGCACTGAGTCGTACACTCTTGCAACCCCAGGAGCAGAGTTCGGATCAAAATTCAAATGACAGCGCATGCTTTCAGCCACGTGGGCTTCTGTGCCAGTGAGTCCACTGAAGTTCCTTTGGATTTGATTATTCTGCATTGGAGGTAGCAATGGTGAGAGTGGAGGGACATCATCGTGACCCGCTCTCGGGCTCTGCAACATGACTCCCGTGGTGCCAATCAACAAGCCATTCACGGACGGATCCACGAAGATCTCTGGGGCGACAACCAGGTCCTGGTCTACCTGACTCTCATCTTCGGGGAAAGCGCGCCCGCCCACTGGAGGAGGAACCGCAGACACTTCCATGGGAGAAGAGCTGTCCAGACAATAGCTCCGCGATCCTTCCAAAGGATACATCCCCTCATCTAAAGGCACAGTATACTGAATGTAGTCCTGAGGCATAAGTCCAATAACGACAGGCACATGTTCATCCAGGTGGAGATGCAGGTCTCCGTTATGAGAAGCCGAGCTCTTCAGGGAATTGGCTTGCTCTTGGCACGCGGTCTCGTTCTGGAGGTCGTGGAAATCCTTCCGGACGCCGTTCAGGGCTGGACTCGGGCTGGAAGAGTGAACCAAGGCCTTGACTCTCACCTCCATCTTGATGCAGGTCTCCTCGGAGTTCGTGGGCCGCAGAGGCCACGGCGTGGGGCTGTAGTGATGGCTGCGGAGCGAGGTGGACCTGATCGGCCTCTGAGCTCTCACGTCTTTAAAGACGATGGGCGCTGAGGAGGAGGAGAAGGTGTCCTCGTCGGCAGAGCTCCCAGAGGGCGTGCCCGCCTTGCCTTTCGGCTTCTGTTTTGCAGAAAGCCGCCTTTTGAGCGTACCCATCAGGCTCTCGCTTTTCGATCTGTTTTTTCCGCCTTTTTCCTCTTCACCGTTGATATCGCAGCTGGCCATATCTTTACCATAGCAGCTACCAAACAAGGAATCATCTTTTCCAAAGTCACTGGCTAGCGATGGTTGTTGTACTACCATGAAATCAGTTTCTTCTTTACTTTTATTCAAGTTAAAAGATTTCCGTAAGGTTTTAAGACTAATTTTCTTCATTATGACTAGTTACCTAATCCAAGGGATCAAAATTTCTATCTGGAATATTATCCCCAAACATCTGGAGAGGCTGCAAGGCTGCATCTATGTATTTTTCCTGCTTCATTTAACCTTTGGAGCCATTTTCTAAAAAATAAAAAGAAGAGTCATATTAAAAAATATTTCCACAAAAGTTTTATTTTAGTCAGTTTTAATCCTTTAGCTTCTGAACAACAATACCCCAGTCTAGGCCGGGCGCGGTGGCTCAAGCCTGTAATCCCAGCACTTTGGGAGGCCGAGACGGGCGGATCACGAGGTCAGGAGATCGAGACCATCCTGGCTAACACGGTGAAACTCCGTCTCTACTAAAAAGTACAAAAAAAAACTAGCCGGGCGAGGTGGCGGCGCCTGTAGTCCCAGCTACTCGGGAGGCTGAGGCAGGAGAATGGCGGGAACCCGGGAGGCGGAGCTTGCAGTGAGCTGAGATCCGGCCCCTGCACTCCAGCCTGTGCCACAGAGCGAGACTCCGTCTCAAAAAAAAAAAAACAACGAAAAAAAACAATACCCCAGTCTTTCTTTCTTTCTTTTTTTTTTTTTTTTGAGACGGAGTCTCGCTCTGTCGCCCAGGCTGGAGTGCAGTGGCCGGATCTCAGCTCACTGCAAGCTCCGCCTCCCGGGTTCACGCCATTCTCCTGCCTCAGCCTCCCGAGTAGCTGGGACTACAGGCGCCGCCACCTCGCCCGGCTAGTTTTTTGTATTTTTAGTAGCGACTGTTAGCCAGGATGGTCTCCATCTCCTGACCTTGTGATCCGCCCGCCTCGGCCTCCCAAAGTGCTGGGATTACAGGTGTGAGCCACTGCGCCTGGCCCAATCTTTTCTTAATGTCAACTCTGTTAGGACCGGGATCTCTATTGCATCCAGCAGAGCAGATCACTGCCTACTACACATGAGCATTTGGCAGATATTTCATGCTGTTTATAAAGAACAAGCCTGTATCTACCTTTATTTCTTTTGGCACCTCGCTTTTTGGTATAATCTCTAACGTGTGGGCCAGTGTGCACGTCCTTCCCAGCTGGGCTCTAGCGGAGTCCACTCCTTCAGCACTGACCCCGGTTGCTCCTCTGCTGCCCGCCCATGTCCCAGGACGACAGTAAAGGCGTTCCATAGAACTGCAGTAACAAGCCTAGTCAACTCAACAACTTATGCATATTTTAAATATTTAAGCATGTGTCAAAATAAACAAAAAGAATTTCATTATATAGAGATGTTCCTTCAGAACAAGAATCATTCACCTTCAAGTTCCCAATGCACAGAGGAGGAAGAAGCCCAATGCATGTGGGCTGAAAAGCTTCATCTCTTAAGTACACCCATGTGTCTAGTTTTGATCTATTTGGAATATTATGAAACGTAATTTCCAGAATTATTCTTTCTTACTCTTCTTTTTTTGCAATTTCCCATGGCAAATTTTTACTTCTATATCCAGAAATATATTTTCTAAACTTTTTTTGTACATTGTTCTACACTGAAATGACAGGATTTCAATTCTGTAGAGACTTTCTGAAAGTCATTTCACAGGAAAAAATCTTGGTTCCATAAACCACGTTAAGTGATCCTAACACTACTTTGCAAAGGCCTTGTGTTTAAATCGTGTGGAATGTTTTCTTTCCTCCAAGGCCATGTTCTGCCTTCTCTGCAACCATCAGAGTATGCCTTGACAAGATGACTCGCTTGACTTGAGCGAAATGCTAATAAAGCTCAGAACAAGATTCTAGCCTCCCAAACCAGCAGTTTAGCACCACTCAGTTTCTTGGCACAAGACTAGGGCTCTAGCTTTGATCCGATTCATGAATTCACTCTGCATTTACTAAGCCCCTACTCGGCCGGCCTCCGCGGAGTCAGCTTGGCTTAGCCCTGTGTGGCAATACACAGATTAATAAATAACTGATGGTCGCCCAATCCAGTAGGAGAGACAGATGTATGAACAGATAAATTGTAGTATCAACGCTTCTGTAATGTAATGGTACATAAGGTGGGAACTGACAGGAGAGAGAGAACCTGACAATTGTCTCCTTTTAGTTACAGGTAAGATTTGGGTGGTCTGCAGATGGAATCATTCTTACTAAAAACCATTCAGATCAGACAACCTATCAGGGGATCAGTAATACCATGTCCCCAAAAGGAAGAACCAATTTTTAAAAGTCTACTGTCATGTACTACGTTTTGGAGTAAGTTGTAAAAAATAAAAAACAAAATATTTGAAGCACCCGTTACTTTTGAATAGTAAATTAAGTTGTATATTAGGTGAACTCAGTGTCTTAGTAGCGTGTCTTCTACCCAAGCATAATGAAATATTATAACTGCTAGAATCAGTAACTGATTAACCCTACTAAATGTGAGATTCAAATAGTCCTGCTTCCCACCATATCCCAAAACACGAGAGACTAGCAACCACGGTAAAAGTACCTGGCAATTACCTACTTGAAAATTACTCCTTTTTCAACTACCAATCCATATTTGTAAGCTATTAATCAATACTAATATTAAAGAAACAAAATGCAATCCTAGACATTACAAACTGTAAAAGTTCTATTAGGCCATATGGTCTTTTCTCTCTTCCCTTCATATTCTAGGCAAAGATTACTCTAAAATTTTTAAGAGTATCTGTTTTTCTGTTTGCACATCCAAAAATACATGCCATCTTTTTATAGGATTACCATCTGTCTCATGCCTAAGTAAATGTTCTGAATTAGTTTTACTGCTTTTCTAATTGTAAAATTTTAAGTTTACACATATACGTGAAAATGTATATAAAGTTTCAAGGGAAAAAGCTTTACACATTTAAATACTTTATCCATATGGGTAAAGGATAACTTCTTCAAATAATTTCAACCTCTTCTTAAAGAAATGACTTGAGGTAGTCATGTCTGTCAGTCATCATAACACATAATGAAAAAATTAAAAAGATCAAACAACTACTTAACCTTCAATAAACAAAACAGCTTTATTAACCCCATTTTATAAAATGAGGAAACTGGTTATTAGAGAGATTGGAATTTGCCCAAAAAAGTTAAAATTTGCTACTAGAAACAGCAGATCCAGAATCTGAACCTGGCTATTTATTTGCAAAGCTCATATTCTTTCTCTACACCAAACTGTCCTACCTGTCATTCTACTGCTTACATCAGTGGTTCTCAAACATTCTGGTCTCAGAACCCCTTTATTCTCTTAAAAATTATTGGAAGACAAGAAGCGGCATTGTTTATGTGGGTTGTGTCTATTGAAATGTACCCTACTAGAAAATAAAACTGAGAGACCAGGCATGGTGGCTCATGTCTGTAATCCCACTCTGGGAGACCAAGGCGGATCACCTGAGGTCAGCAGTTTGAGACCAGCCTGGCCAACATGGTGAACTCCGTCTCTACTAAAAATACAAAAAAAAAATTAGCCAGGCATGGTGGCGTGTGCCTGTAATCCCAGCTACTCAGAAGGCTGAGGCAGGAGAATTGCTTGAGACTGGGAGGCGGAGGTTGCAGTGAGCCGATATCGCGCCACTGCACTCCAGCCTGGGCAACAAGACTGAAAACTGTCTCAAAAAAAAAAAAAAAGAAAGAAAAGAAAAGAAAACCCTGAGAAAATTTGTTATTTATTTACTGAAGACACAGAATCAGAGTCTTGCTGTGTTGACCAGGCTAGAGTGCAGTGGTATGATCTCGGCTCACTGCAGCCTCAACCTCCTGGGTTCAAGAGGATCCTCCCACCTCAGCCTTCCGAGTAGTTGGTACTATAGGCACGCACCACCATGCCTGGCTAATCTTGTCTATTTTTTGAAGAGATGAGGTCTAATTTTGTCTACTTTTTGTAGAGATGAGGTCTGTGTTGCCTGGGCTAGTCTTGAACTCCTGGCCTCAAGCAATCCTCCTACCTCTGCTTCCCAAAGTGCTGGGATTACAGTGTAAGCCACTGTGCCCAGCCTAATTTTATATGTATTTTAAAATGACAATATACTCTTTACTTGTTAACATAAATATCATTTTCATGAATAATAAAAACCAGTGAAAGTGGCACCACATGACATTACTGTAAATCTCTTCTGCCTGACTTAAAGGAAGACAGCTGGACTCTCATGTCTGCTTCTGCACTGGATCTGTTACAGAACAGTAGCTCTCTCTTATCTGCAGGGGATACATCCCAAGATCCCCTGTGGATTCCTGAAACCACAGATAGTACAGAACCCTATATAAAGTATACTTTGCTTTTTTCCTATACACACATACCTATGATAAAGTTTAATTTTTAAGTTAGGTACAGTAAGAGATTAACAACTATAAGTAATAATAAAATTGAACAATTATAGCAACATACTGTAATGAAAGCTATGAGAATGTGGACTCTCTCTCACAAAATATCTTACTGTAGTGCACTTAGCTGTCTTCAGATGACTATTGACCGTGGGTAATTAAACTGTGCATGGGGGACTACCTGTAAGAAGAAAATTCAGCCTCCTCCAGATACGTAGTTGGAAAAAGGAAAAATATATTTTATTTAATAACCTTTTCATATAACTATGGATATCTTTCTTTGATACTATATCAAAGCTCAATGAATGAGTTTCTTAATGTTAAATTGCCCTGTAAAATCTGAAACCATAACATGAAATTTTTTTACTCTATAACATTCAAACCCATTGGTCGTGCCTATAATGCCAGCACTCTGGGAGGCCAAGGTGGGTGGATCACTTGAGGTCAGGAGGTCGAGACCAGCCTGACCAACATGGTGAAACCCCGTCTCTACTAAAAATACAAAAATTAGCCAGGCATTATGGCTCACGCCTGTAATCCCAGCTACTCGGGAGGCTGAAGGAGAATCACTTGAGCCCAGGAAGCAGAGGCTGCAGTGAGCCGAGATCACAACACTGCACTCCAGCCTGGGCAACAGAGCGTGACTCCATCTCAAAAAAAAAAAAAAAAAGAAACTTTGAATTTTATCACTGGCAACAATACTGTCATTTGTGTTTATTGAAGTGACAGACTCATGTTGATCATTTATGGGAAAATATTAAAACTCACATGGAATAATCATGTGTGTCTGTCAATTGTTGTTTTTAGTAAAAGTGGTTATTTCACAAAAAAAAGGAGCTAGTTAGCTAGTGTAGCCAGCAAGTCAAACAACAAGCGCTTCCCCTGGAGACACTCTTCCTTCTTCAGTATGTACTGTAGAGTATCTTTGAAATATTCACATTTCATAAAAAGGATTTTAGAAAGATGTATGCTCAGGGTAAAGATTTCATAAAATTAATAGTTTTTATAGCTTCATCAATGGCACCCATAAGTATAACCTTTTTTTTTTTTTAAACTAAAGTGCTTGGTTCTTACTAAAGTAAAAAACATATGACTATTATTACATTTACTATTACAGTTTGGTGCCACTGCCTTGACTCATGGTGAGGCATCATCAGTTTTATCCATCATTGCTTTCTGTACCATCAGTGAAAAACGCAAATGATGTTTCAGCATTATGATGAAAGAGGATCCACAGACCAGAGCCACAGGCTTAAATTATCTGTGAAGGCAATTTAAAAGAATAAAGACTTTAACATAAAGCAAAGAATCCACATAAAAAGTTAATAGCGTTGTAAATATCTCTCTACACCCTAAGTTGCATTGTCAATTTCTGAACCTGCATGGTTCATGTACTTTCATCTCAGTTTCTTAGATTCTACTCCACTGCTCCTGAACCTGTGGGAACACTACTTGCCATTCACTTAGGAAAAAAAGGAAAAATAAGAGATACCAAAGTCTTCCCAGAAAGGGAGAACGGAAAAAGGAAGAACGGAACAGACCACATAATAAAAAAGAATTACAATACAAATATAACATGAAATATAAGATGTAGGCTCCAAAATGTTTGTTATACCAATATATATAAATGGAGTAAATTCAAGTATTAGACTTTTTTTTTTTTTTTTTTTTGTGAGATGGAATCTTGCTCTTGTCGCCCAGGCTGGAGTGCAATGGCACCAAATAGCACGATCTCGGCTCATTGCAACCTCCGTCTCTTGGTTTCAAGCGATTCTCCTGCCTCAGCCTCATGAGTAGTTGGGATGATAAGCGCCCACCACCACACCCGGCTAATTATTGTATTTTTAGGAGAGACAGGGTTTCACCATGTTGGCCAGGCTGGTCTCAAACTCCTGACCTCATGATCCACCCGCCTCGGCCTTCTGAAGTGCTGGGATTACAGGCGTGAGCCACCGTGCCCGGCCTAGAAGAAAAACATTTTAAAATCTGACTAAAAAAAAAAAAAAAAAAACAATCATATGTTATATATGGAAAGGACACACTAAAACAAATTACCTCAGAAAGTTTCAAAATATCATAAAATCTCTCCAGTATTCCCACTCTTTCCAACTATTCTCTTCTTCACTGTGCCTGTGATTTTCTTATGCTACCAGCTAGTTGTACTAAGTGTGTTCTACTTGAGATCAGGAATGTTTTCAGTAGTGGTCACTGCTATATCTTCAATACCAAAGATAGCTCCTGGGCATGGCTGATACTCAGATGCAAACTTTTTTTGTACTTAAATTCATTATGCAATTTAAACATATGAACAAATAAGTATATTTTTGAAAATTATTTATATAAAAATAGTGCTAATTGATTTAGAAATAATAAATGCAAGTGGCATTAAGAAAAAATAAAAAATGTTTTCTGCAGAATCAGGTATAGGCAAAAAGACCAGGGAAACATTCCTTTTTTAAAAAAAAAAACAAAACTGTATCTATAATAAATAATAGGCCAGGTACAGTAGCTCATACCTGTTATCCCAGCACTTTGGGATGCTGAGGCAGGTGGATCACTTTGAGGTCAGGCATTCGAGGGCCAGTCCGGCCAACATGGTGAAACTCCGTCTCTACCAAAAATTACAAAACTTAGCGGGTCGTGATGGTGTGTGCTTGCAGTCGCAGCTACTCAGGAGGCTGAGGTGGGAGGATTGCCTGAACCCAGAGGCAGAGGTTGCAGTGAGCCAAGATCACACCATGCACACCCACACACCAACCTGGGCAACAGAGTAGGGTCCTGTCTCAAAAAACAAACAAACAACAAAAAAAAAGAATGTGGTAAAAAGGGAACACTTCTCCACTGTTAGTGGGAATGTAAACTAGAACCACTATGGAAAACAGTGTGGAAATTCCATAAAGAACTAAAAGGAGATCTCCCATTTGATCCAGCAATCCCACTGCTAGGTATCTACCCAGAGGGGAAAAAAAAATTATATGAAAAAGATACTTGCACACACATAGCAGCACAACTCACAACTGCAAAAATATGGTACCAACCCAACATCCATCAACCAATGGGTGGATAAAGAAAATGTGGGGTGTGTGTGTGTGTGTGTGTGTGTGTGTGTGTGTATACTACTACTCAGCTATAAAAAGGAATGAAAGAATGGCATTCACAGCAACCCAGATGGAACTGGAGACCATTATTCTAAGTGAAGTAACTAACTCCGGAATGGAAAATCAAACATCGTAGGTTCTCACTTACAAGTGCGAGCTAAGATATGAGGATGCAAAGGCATAAGAATGATACAATGGACTTTGCAGACTCAGGGGAAAGGGTGGGAGGGGGTGAGGGATAAAAGACTATGCATTAGGTACAATGTACACTGCTCAGGTGATGGGTGTACCCAAATCTCAGAAATCACCACTAAAGAACTTATCCATGTAACTAAAAACCACCTGTTCCCCCAAAACTTATTGCAACAAAAAATACATTATAAAAAATACATTCCATTAGGCTACCTTGAAAAAAATAACTGGGCCTTTGTACAAAAATTGTTTTGCAAAGGCAATTAAACTTCTAATTCTAATACTTAAAAGAAGTACTAAACTAG